TGGACATGAAGAACTGCTCACCATGTGGAGAGCTCCCATACCAGACTCCACATTCATAACAGTTAAGACAGCGTGGAGCCATGGTGAATAGCCTCAACCCGTTTCTCATTGCTTATTGCATGAGGGTTGTGATATGAAAACAGCATTGGGGAAGGGCTATAGCAGGCATGTCTAAAGCCCGTTTCGGGGGTGTAATCCAGTCCACCAGTCGATTTAATCCTGCCCCCGTGGCAGTATATGTCCTGGGGTAAACTCCTAAAAATAGCTCAGCAACCTCAATCCTAAAAAAACTTTGGTCGGCCCTCACACATGTTCACTTCATCAAATCTGGCCCTCTTTGAAAAAAGTTTGGGCACCCCTAGGCTATAGTCTAATGGCAGGGCATCTGCTGTGCATGCAGAAGGTGCCAGGTTCAGTTCCCAGCACCTCCCGGTTGGTTCAGGAATACAATCCTCAAGAGTCATGGCATAATCTTGCCAGTCAGTATAGACCAGGGTTTCCCAAACTTGAGTCTCCTGCTGTTTTGGGACTACAACTCCCATCATCCCAAGCTAGCAGGACCAGTGGTCAGCGATGATGGGAACTATAGTCCACAAACAGCTGGAGACCCAAGTTTGGGAAACCCAGTAGACAGTACTGAACCAGGTGGACCAATGATCTGACTCAGTAGAAGGCAGCTTGCTATGTTCCACTATGCTATGCCCCCTTTCTGCATTATCCACAGATCAGGAAAATCCGAATTAAAGGTGGGGAGGAAGAGATGCACCAAATCCACTTTAAACTGTTGTCTCTACACAGCCTAAGAATGCCTCGCCCCCTCTTCATGCTCCATGTAGCTATTCCTCAGGAACACCTTGTAAATCTTGCCAACTCACTGGTTCTATGCAACACAATGCAACTATTTTTATCAGCAACTAAATGGCATACCATGCTCTATGTATGCATGCCAAAGGCACAACTATTATTTTTTAAAGGGAGGGGTAACTAAGACGAACAGAGGATGCATAGATAAAAACATTCAGAGGCAAAGGAAACAGAAACCATCCATCCTCCACTGTCTCCTTTACCAACCTTGAAGCTAAAGACTGCTGTTAGTGTGGCTCCAAACCTGCTAGAAATCTACAGCTTTGGGAAAAAAATATCTACTAGTTTGTTTCTTCCGCAAGTGGCAAACTAGGCACATCCCTGGGCCACTTTAAAGGCCCTGTTTTTTGAGCCTTTTTCCTGATTTGCTTGCACCATCCTTACACGGAGGTTAGACTATGTCCTGCCTTTATTGCGAAAGCATCCCCATTTGCTTGTGGAGCCTTTGCATGGCTTGCCACTCACTTCTGTTCATCCAGTCCACACTTTCCAGTGCATTTCCATTTCACTTTCCTAAACCATAACAAGTCTGGGTTTCCTAAAAACGGGGTTTGTTGCTCTAGGGCGGCAGATCCCTTTAATACTGTACGCTTTAACAGCGCAAACCTAAATTTCCAACGTGCACCTAAATCCCTCTCACAAGAGCATAAAAAGAGCACAGCTGGATCAGGCCGATGGACCATGTAGACCAGAATCCTGTTTTCACAGTGGCCAACGAGATGCCTGTGGGGACCTGAGCACAAGAGCACTGTCTCCCCTCCAGTGGTTTCCAGCAACTGGTATTCAGAAGCACCCTAAACTGTAGAGGCACAGCAGAGTTGTGGCTAGTAGCCACTGATAGCCCAAATCCCCTTTGAGCCGTCCAAGTCAGTGGCTGTCACAAAAATAATGACATCCTGGAGGCATCCTTGGGTTGTTTGTTGCGTGGGAGGGAAGGAAAGCCTGTGTGCACTTGTTGACCATACTACTGGTCTCAGTTAAAACAAGTTTATAATGACTTTTGACCACATTGTAAGAACCCTTGTGCTAATGTAAGCTGCTTTACTGCTACGCAACTACACCCGAGGGACATGGGTGGCGCTGTGGGTTAAACCACAGAGCCTAGGACTTGCCGATCAGAAGGTCGGCGGTTCGAATCCCCGCAACGGGGTGAGCTCCCGTTGCTCGGTCCCTGCTCCTGCCAACCTAGCAGTTCGAAAGAACGTCAAAGTGCAAGTAGATAAATAGGTACCACTCCGGCAGGAAGGTAAACGCCGTTTCCGTGCACTGCTCTGGTTCACCAGAAGCGGCTTAGTCATGCTGGCCACATGACCCGAAGCTGTACACCGGCTCCCTCAGCCAATAAAGCGAGATGAGCGCCACAACCCCAGAGTCGGCCACGACTGGACCTAATGGTCAGGGGTCCCTTTACCTTTACCTACACCTGAAACTGCCTTTCCAAGTCCTGTACCCTTCACCAGCACCCAAGTACTTTCCTTTTGGCTACAGCTTCATTTTAACCCCTTTCCTGCTCACCGAGAAAAACAAGCAATTCACTTTGGCTGGGATGGGGGGGAGAGAACCAGGGGAGGACTGAAATATCCTTTTAAGGGATTTCAGTGTTACTGAGCAAATCAAATAAAAGAGTCCAGCAGGGTGGAGAAGGCAGCTTGGTGCCAGCAGGGCCCCTGTGGTCATCAGTGGCCAATTATCTCTTGGACCTTGTGTTTAAAAAGGTCGCTTGGGACATTCAAAACCAACTGCTATAAATGCTACTGGGGGAGGAGGAGGAATAACCAGAGAAAACCCAGAGCAACATTTCATTGGGTTCAGTGCAAATGTTGTACTGTCGATATTTCCAACATATTGCTAAATTCATTTATTGTTCTATATAGCTCGGACTCCTCCCTCCCCCCTTATCTAACTTGTGGGGAATCACGTTAAATAAAGGATATGCTCAATAGTGTCTACATTACAGTCCCTCCCCTCCATATTCCACTGGGTGAAATTCAATGTACAGTGGTACCTCGGGTTAAGAACTTAATTCGTTCTAGAGGTCTGTTCTTAACCTGAAACTGTTCTAACCTGAGATACCACTTTAGCTAATGGGGCCTCCCGCTGCCAGCACCACGCGATTTCTGTTCTCATCCTGAAGCAAAGTTCTTAACCTGAGGTACTATTTCTGGGTTAGTGGAGTCTGTAACCCGAAGTGTCTGTAAACTGAGGTACCACTGTAGTGCTAACTGGGGTGTGTTGGTGTGGGTGGGTGTAACTAAGCCCACTTACAGAGCTAAGACTTCTCTGCCCATTCTCTTCCTCTCATGCATCCACCAAACCTGTTCTGGGGTTTCCTCCAACCCTCCTGAGCAGATTTAGGGGGTGCATGGAAGAAATAGAGAGGGGGGAAGTCTTGTTGTGCAAGAGGACCTTGTTATGTGCACACAACAACTTAGTTGACTCACACACCCTATGCTGCTGACCAACTCCCAGAATATAAGCTGAAAGGTGCCTAGGAGAAGCACACATACAGTAGAACTCAGGGGAGATAAGCACATCAGGCTCTGCCTGCCCAGCCCCTCGGCTTCTGAGCTTCTGCAAGATCCTGTTCTTGGCTTCCCTTCCTCCAGCCTTCGTTGCCTTGCTTATACTTCAGTACAGTGCTGGGTCCAAAGGAGCAGGGAGGAAGACTCAGCACAAAGTCCTAATCCAGGTGTTTGTTTCTTCTAAAGCACAAAGGATTAAAAAGTCAACATCTCCGTTAAGATGCTATTAAAGCCTTGCACTGGTAAACAGTGTGGGAAGGGGCGGTGGTGGTGGGGAGAATCAGGACCATGCCTGCTGTCACCTCCCAACAACCACACATTCAACAGAAGGTCTTCTGTGTGTGTAAGTTGTATGCAAGTGTCGTACATGTGATTTGGGAACCCTGTCTTTTGCAGGGTTCCAAATCATGCAAAGAGAGCTGATGCCTATAGTACTTGTTCAGGCTTTCGGGTTAGTGGTATTTTCCCCCGCCCCACACACATTCACAGACCATCTCTGCACAGTGTTTAATTAATATAGCAGAGAAGTCAAAGGGACTCCAAAAACAACAACTGGCCATTTTAGAACATCCTTGCTGTACAGAGGTGGCCCGTTCGCTTTCTGCAACAGGACTGTTGTTGTTTAGTCATTTAGTCGTGTCGGACTCTTTGTGACCCCATGGACCAGAGCACGCCAGGCACTCCTGTCTTCCACTGCCTCCTGCAGTTTGGTCAAACTCATGCTGGTAGCTTCGAGAACACTGTCCAACCATCTCGTCCTCTGTCGTCCCCTTCTCCTTGTGCCCTCCATCTTTCCCAACATCAGGGTCTTGAAACAGGACTACACGGGTGAATAAAGTCCATCCCGTGAAGATCTGCAGAATCAGAGCTTGGGCTTGTAGATCCTGGAGGCAGGGCCGGCTGCATTTCTCTCTGTATCTAGTTCATACACTCCATCTGCTCTTACCGGGGGGATGCCCTTATTACCCAGATAAATAACCAAGGCAATAGCCTGTTCTTTCCTTCTCTCAGCTGCCAATGGGAGAGAAAGAAGTCAGTTTCATCTCTGTTCCCTTGTCAGTTTCCACTCAATTTCCTTTGCTGGTTCTCAGGCATTAGCTCAATACTGCAGAGTTCGTTCAGGCTGCAAACCCTGCAGGAGGAAGCACTGCTTGTTGGAATTTGTGTGTGTGTGTGTGTGTGTGTGTGTGTGTGTGTTGTTACTGCTGCTGTTTTTGCTTAAAAAAAGTACTGGAAATAGGTTTTAATTCCTATCGATCTTTGGTTCAGAAAACGCCGTGAAGCCCAGAATGGTGCCTACACCTCCCTTAGCCATGCCAGTGGCAACATTTAAAAACAGGGTGCGTGTAATTTACGCAAACGAGAAGCTCTGCCACGCAACTCCCTGCTGGGGAAGCCAGCGCTTTGAGCAAAACCATTGATTGATTGCAAAAGCTTCTACTCCTCTGCTAAGCTGCAGCGCCCTCTAGTGGACCTGGCATGGTCTGCAGTCAGCCGCAGCAGCAATGGGAAAGTTAAGAAGGGAGATTCACAGGCAGTTTCAAGGAAAACCTACTTTTGGAGTCTTAGGGTCATATATAGAATGTGGGCACCACTTGGTTCACACATGCAGAGGTTCTGCCTGATAGCTCAACTGGTAGAGCATAAGACCCCTTAATCTCAGGGCTGTGGGTTCGAGCCCCATGTTGGATGAAAGATCCCCGCATTGCAGGGGGTTGGACTAGATGACCCTTGTGTCCCCTTCCAACTTTACAATTCTATGATTCAGGGTTTCAAAGATGGGCCTTGTCTAGTCCTGCATGGAGATGCTGGTATTGAACCTCATGCCTCGCTATGTGCAAATAAGGGCTCTACCACTAAGCTACGTGCCCATCGTAGATGTGCCACAGCAGGACACCTGTATGGGATGCCCAAAGGGCAAGGCCACTGGGTGAAGAATACATCTGAAGGTCTCTAGTACCAGATTCACGTCGTCATTTCGGTCATCGTAGTTTAGGGATGGTGAAGCCTACGGCCTTCCAGATGTTGTTGTTGCTGCTGCTGCTGTTAATTCAATTTATATACCGCCCTTTATCAAAAGATCCCAGGGTGGCATACAACATTAAGAACACATTGCAGAACATCAATGTGGCTTAGGGCCCTCATATTTACGGGACCGCCTCTCCTGGTATGCCCCATAGAGGACCTTAAGGTCCATGAATAATCATAGTTCCTGGGCCCTAAGGAAGTCAGATTATCTTCCACCAGGGCCAGGGCCTTCTCAGTGATGGCTCCGACCTGGTGGAATGCTCTGTCCCAAGAGACCAGGGCCCTGAAGGATTTAACTTCCTTCCACAGGGCTTGTAAGACAGAGCTATTCCACCTGGCTTTCAATTTGAACTTAGCCTTATCTTTTATTCCCCTTCCTTCCCTCCCCCTCCCCTTTATACCCGCTCTGGGATCCCACAGCTAATTCTCCCCTGGTCGCCTCGCTGGCCCAAATAGGACTAACCTAGCCAGCAAGCCCTGGTGGTCATCTAATGTTTATTGGATGGATTTTCCCCCTAAATTGATTTATGAATTCTGAATTTATTGTTATTCACGTTTTATACAGTATTTTACGCTGCTTTTTGTTGCATCAATTAAGTTTTTTAAATTTGTTGTTAGCCACCCTGAGCCCGGTTTTCTGAATCGGGAAGGGCGGGTGTCAGGGCTGCCTCAAGTCTCAGCTCACAAAAGACCAACGCCTATGTCTTCTTATATACAAAAGTGTTTATTGCAGTTCATTGTTTGCTTGACATCCTAGGCGCGCAGCCCTACGTCTGCTACGCTTAGACCGCTGAAGTCCCCTCTGAATCCGTCCCTCCCCTGCACCAATTTAAGAGGCTTGCGCTGCTCCACCTCTTTCTCTCTTTCCTTTCCGCAGGGTCCTTCTGCCCGCTGGGGTTTCGCCCCTCCTGGATTCCTCTGACGCGGAATCAGACTGCTCTTCACCCCTCCTGCGGGCTTTGGGACCTGGCCCCTCCTCCGGGCTCCCTGTACTTCCGCGCGCCTCTACATTTGAACTTGGCGCGCGCGCCAAACCTCTAACTTTCCTTTTGACAGTTACACTACTCCCTTCACTGCTCCTCCCCTTCCGGGAGGGTGGCTTGCTCTGACCTCCCTCCTTTCTCTGCTGCCGGAGCTGCTTCCCCTGATACACTGGAAACTCCACCCCTTCGCTGCACTCTGGTGGGGAGGCTGGTCCTGACGCCCAGCTGCCACTTTGGGATCCTCCGCTGGCCCCCTGCTCCTGACACGTCCCCCCTGGGGCTCCCCTGGCCTTGACCACCGGCACCCCCTTCTGGGAATCCTCTGATTCGCTGGAAAGTCTCATGGAATCTCTTGAGTCATTGTCATCCTCTTCCTCGCTGGCTTGGGATTCATCCCCATCGCTCTCCATCTCCTGCCTACCCTGTGCCTCTCTCCCTGAACCCCTGACAGCGGGGTATAAATAAAAAACTATTTATTATTATTATTATGATAAAAAAAACATAATAAAAAACATACTGACAGACAGCCTAATGATAAAATAGTCATCAGAGTAACAGTCCTCCCTACCAGACTTTCACAGTCCATCGATTATTTAACAGCCATAAAGGTAAAGGTAAAGGGACCCCTGACCATTAGGTCCAGTCGTGACCGACTCTGGGGTTGCAGCGCTCATCTCGCTTTATTGGCCGAGGGAGCCGGCGTACAGCTTCTGGGTCATGTGGCCAGCATGATTAAGCCACTTCTGGCAAACCAGAGCAGCGCATGGAAATGCCATTTACCTTCCCACTGGAGTGGTACCTATTTATCTACTTGCACTCTGACATGCTTTCAAACTGCTAGGTTGGCAGGAGCAGGGACCGAGCAACGGGAGCTCACGCCGTCGCGGGGATTCGAACCGCCGACCTTCTGATCGGCAAGTCCTAGGCTCTGTGGTTTAACCCACAGCGCCACCTGCGTCCCTTTAATAGCCATAGGCCTGGGTAAAGAGGAATGTTTTGGCCTGTCGCCTAAAGACATGTAACGACGGTGCCAGATGAGCCTCTCTGCGGACAGCATTCCACAACGGGGGAGCCAGCACAGAAAAGGCCTGTTCTCTTGTTGTCAGACTCCAACTCCCAACAGTCCCACTAACATGTTCAATGGTCAGGGATGGTGAGAGTCATAGCCCAGCAACATTTGGAGGGGCCACAGGTTCTCCCACCCCTGCTGCAACCACATAACTAAAACTAACGCCTACTCTGCTCTGCTCTTCCTCTACCCAGCCCAGACCCAGTGCAAAGGAAGGAAAAAAGGAATACAATGCTATCAACTTGTGACTGCCCTCTCCTGCATAGGTGGAAATGCTATGCAAAGCCTAAAACCCTTAAATATCATTATTGGGATTGAAGTCGTCTTCCCTGGGATCCTTGGGTCCAGAAATATCAAACCCCAGGCAGCTGTCCATAACTTCCCTCACTTCCAGTGCCTATCATTTATCTCCCCACTCCACAAGCCAATCTGTGATCAGATCCAGTTTTCCATCTTATTTTGAATGTATCAAAATGTGCAGCATTGTGCATAAATATCTGGTCCCTCTTTGGCCACCATACCTATTTCTTTTATTTTACTTTTGCGGCTGCTGTACTGCCAGCTGGAGGCTAACCTAAGTTTTTCTAACAGTATGCACTGTGCGTATACTATTGCTGCCATCTGCTGGGTAAACTGTGCAACCGAATCGGAAAGTTGCTCAGCTGAGGGGTAGTTGGCAAAAAATATGCTTTTTCTTATTACTGTACCTCCCTGCTCCTGATCTCGTGCAACAGAAGTAAATACCAGCCATGATTATATGAACAAGCTACCTGACGCTGTAGCTAAGTGCACATCTCGAAGAATGATCAAGAAGTCACTAACTGTTAGTCTGTTGCAGGAAACACTACAGAGTCCTGTGGCAAACTGAAGACTGAACAAATTATTTAGCTTTCATAGGACTGGCAAGTAAACCTGCTACAAGGAGGCTCGCTTATCTACATGCACATCAAAACTGGAAACAGCAGGGATTCCAAAGTAGGAATGTGCACTGAAAACAAAATTTGGTTCCGATCCTGCTTTGGAAAGTTTATCAGTTTGCCTCAGGCTACTTCAGAGAACACTTGTTGAATGTTGCTCTGAATCAGAGCCTTGCTCTAGAACAGGCATATGCAAACTCAGCCCTCCGGATGTTTTGAGACTACAGTTCCCATCATCCCTGACCACTGGTCCTGTTAGCTAGGGATGATGGGAGTTGTAGTCCCAAAACATCTGGAGGGCCAAGTTTGTCTATGCCTGCTTTAGAAAACCCAAAGCTTCACAGATTTACACTGAGAAATGAACAAACAGTTATACATGTTTTGTTTTGTTTTGTTTTGAACAAAACCAGGTTATACCAAATTAGTTGTTTCTCTTATTTTACTCCTCTATAAGTTCTGGAGCAGCACAAAAAGCAAAATTTCTGATTACAGAGCACAGCGCTTGAATTAAAAATGCAAAACCAGAAAAATATAATAAATTAAAGGTCACTGATTAGGAAATACGTTCACTGCCTGTTTCTTTTCTTCTCTCTTTTTTTTAAAGGATGAAATAAAGTAACAAAAGGATTCACTTCATATGTCTTAATCTAGATGTTGGTTGCTAAGATCTGATATGGGATATACACTGAAAGTTACGTTTCAGCCTAAGGTGGTGTCGTGGTTTAGCCTGGCCAGGCTTCTGGAAAGACCACATTCGAGGAGGAGGAACATGACGCTATGGGAAACTCTAGCAACTGCAGCTGAATCTGAAGAGCCGACTGAGCTGCCCAGGTCCAAGGACAACTTGCTGCCCCACCTCCAGGACTCCCTCATACTTTTGATTGTCCCCTGACTTTCCCCTTCATCCTCTGAGGCTCAGGAACTGTGATAACAATGGAGAGGAACCCAGTGTACTGGATAACCCAGCAAGTAGCTGGGGAAGGGAGGGCTCAGGCTGTATACTGTAGCTATAGGCCGCTCCATCTCTCATAAGCCTCTGATGTGACAACAGCTCTCTACAACTCTCCGTTGAGCAGTGCTAGCTCTAGTTCTCTGTCTTGTCTCTAGTTTCCACCCCAGCTCTGGTTCCTCTAAACAAGTGGTCTGGCTTGGTTTCAGTACCTCCACAGCACCAGTAACCCAGGGCTTTTCCCCCAGCTCTCCAGAACTTAGTTCCAGCACCTTTCAGGTGGGCCCCATTGCCATCATAAGAGAACAAGGGAGGAATTCAGAGTTCTAGCACCACTTTTTCTAGAAAAATAGCACCACCCGTATCCCTGTGCTGTAGATCCTGCTCAGCCCCCAGCTTGCTTGAACCCCAGGTATGGGGAATAGACTGCAGGCCTCTTGATTATAACATGAACACACACATATTTGGGATTGAGCGCCAAACCAGAAAATGATCTCCGCAATGCTTTCTCCGCAATAACTTTCTGTCAGGGGTAACCGGCAAGACCTAGCTGGATTTAGCTCATTCCCCTTTCCTAAGGATTCCCAGGGCCACTTTAATATTTAAATTTCAAATTCATAGGGCCCAAGCTTATTCCCCTGCTTATTCCAAGCTTATTCCCCAGGAACTCAAATAGACTTTTAGCTTCTGAATACACAATTTCTCTGAAAATGAAGCACCTGCCAGGATTGTATTTTAGAAGAAAA